CTACTCATAGGGTTACATGCTTTGATCGCTGTTTACATGGAACCATGGAAACGGTAGTTAATGCGCAACTTCAGCGATTGTCCAACGAGAGCCTGCAAATCGTGGCGCGTCCGCCATCGTGACGAAGTCTCTTATGAACCGGATGATTTTTGTATAGCAACACCAGAAACCAGTAAGTCCAATGATAATATTCAGATAACTCAATATTATTTCATTCTATATTTAGCACATCTTCTTTCCTGAAGATGCTCTAAATAAAGAACGAATATCAAATCAAACATGGCTAATATTAGTCTTTTTGGAGTCTGCATAATATTGAGTTATGCACCAGAAGTTTCATGGCTTTCACAGAGTCATGGCAGAAAAAACAAACAAACAGAGCGGCAAAGGATTGTGGGTTGCAACTGTGAATAGAAGGAAATAACTACCTTGGCTATTTCTTCAGAGATATGAGGCATGTTGCGCATTTTCCTGTAAGTTTCATGGCTTGACCAACGAACATACAGCAACTCTTCTTTCTGTTCTGCATTTTCTGTGAACCATGCAAATCAATATATAAGTCAGTGTGAGACTTGAAGCCGTTGATCCAGAACACCTTCTGTGACACCCCCAATGGCCGTGCTTTCAGCTGTGACTGCGCATTTTATTGAAGGAGGGTCTAGGAATGGGAGGCGGGAAAAAACCCCATCAAGGGGGTAAGGCTACACAGCGGATATACGCGAAGGACCCAGGGGAATCTGTGACTGACCGTCTGATCGTTCAGAGCTCGTGTCCTTTCTGACGTGCAGGGCCCACCTTTGATCCTTGGCCCTTTGTTATGCAGTGATCGATGCCCACGGCGTCCCCAGGTGGTCGAGACTTGACAGGATGGAAGGTGATTGGATCAGGTCGCCCCATGCATGAGTTTTGCAACTCGATGTTTCTTGGGTCTCTTGAACGACGACAGTGCTGAGAGGGAACTTTACCTTGCCCTCCGTGGTTTTCGATCAAATTCCAAAACTCAATTTTCTTCGACTTGTTTGTCTACTAAAACTTAAACGATGTTGGTACAAAAGAACTACACTGTGTTTGGGAGCTTTGTACATGTATGCACAGGTAAGTATATTTTCGGTGATGTTTGAAACTAGGTACATGTATCTCAGCTCGTGCAATCTTTTGACAGGAATTTGTCTATTTTCAAATCTCTTTTCAAGGCATCAATGCCCTCACATAGATTTCCTTCTTCCTAGTAACTATTGAATTGTGCGAATTAGATCAACAAATCCTAACACGCTCGCCTCTCTTCCTTTAGAAAGGCATTTCAAGAACATCTTGTTATTTTGAAAAGCCACGGCATTCTCTGGTTGTACATCAAGCGAACTGCAGAGACATACTCTCTGACTCATTTAAAAGCTGAAAAACAACTGAAGAGTATAGTTGCAATGCAAAGGGGCTGAACCTAACATATTCCGCTTTATACTGCATGTGCACGATCCATTTCATCCTTATAATGCAAAGCAAGCATGTTCCACTCCAATCTCCAGCCCAATTAAGGCGCCCCAGCAAGGGGTATACAGGTATATGTACATGTACATATATGCATTGTAGCCTGACCTTGAGCAGGTTGAGGTGTGCAAACATAGGCAAGATTAGGTGAAGCCAGGGGAAGAGTATGCTCCAATCTCTTGGTGAAAGGTGACAAGACTGTGTGTGGGTGTGTAGGGGTGTAGAACACAGGCAGTGTGATTGCGTAAATACAGACATGTGTACAGGTACATTATAAATGGATGGGGGGGTGTTTGGGAGTGCAGCTGGTGCCTCTCCCCTCTCTTGCCGATAACTCTGCATTCTTCCTTTCTTCTCAATTACTTCTTTTAGTCTCTCCTAGTTTACTCGATAGCTTTAAAAGCCGAACACTAGCCTGAGATAAGAAAATAATTCCCTCTGGTGTTCAGGTTTCATTCTCTAATGTCTCTTTTCATAAATGCTGGACCTCCACTCTGTGTGGTAGAGGCAGATCAGTCACTTATAAAAAGGGGCAGGATATTTATGCAGTGGGGGGGATTCTTCGATTGGAGTTGAACCTGAATATACGAGAGGGCACATTTGAGTGACAAGTTCTGCCTTCAAAAGTTGCAGGTATTTGGGAGCAAACAACATGAAACTGGGATTCACTCTAAGGCACGCCCACTGAAGGGAAAAAAAACAAAGAAATTGGAATAAAAATATGATGTTGCTCTATTGGCTCTATAAATAAACTGCCAAAATACAGTCACGGTTTTTCCCCCCCCACCACAATTTTCAAAACAAGGTCAATTCATGATGTTGATCTGTTAAAAAGGCTCAAAGACATCCACAATTTCCCTGTTTTAGCATAATAATCAGCAATACTCAGCAAAACTGAATTCAAATTATTATTTTCACTGTCCTGAGGAACTGTATCCAAGAAAAGAGGCCAAGAGACTCTAGAATAAATTTTCTAGGGCTAGCTTTCTTGAAGTGCTCTTTTAAAATGTAAGTTTTTTCCCAAGGTTGATTAGGACAAGAAGCGAAATTCAACCCATTTCTTGCTTTCTGGATCAAGTTTTTTTTCCCCCTCCAACACAACCCTTGGGTTTTCTTCCACAAAGACTAATTCATTTTTTTTTTCTCCAAACAGTCCTCTGCTTTTCCTCCAGAAAGACCAGCTGAATCCCCCTTCAACTGACCTAAACAACTGCCAAATCCACTGCGGCTGCCAGATTTTTTTCTTCAAACGGCTCCCCGTTTTTCTCCTCCCCTTCCCCCCCGAAGACACAAAAGACTTCTTGCACCCCTCCTCCCCAACCAATTCCCTGGGGATCTCCGTGATCTGAAGAAACTGACATCGGGCACATTTCAAGATGCCCGGCTGAGCAGCCGCGGAAGAAACACAACTGACGCAGGCGGACAGGAAACGTAATATCCGCTGGCATTGGCCGGCTATGCTGGCAAAGGCCTGCGGACCGGTTGACGGCAGAGAACAGACCAAAAAAAAAAAAAAAAAAAAAAAAAAA